ATTTAGACGATCGCTATCATGAGTCCCATCGTGTATCACTCTCAATCTAGACAAACTCGACTAGTAAATGTTTCAGCTCAAGTCACAGTGTACAATACCATTTCTATGGAGTACATTAAGAGAGTGCAAAAGTTGCTTTGCAACACTTCTATTGAAATTGTATGGAAACCCATGAAACCCATTTTGGTTCAGCACATCATACAAATTAAGTGACAGAAGTTCAAAGACAATACACAAATGTCCTTCTTGTACAAAGTGGTCCAACATTTTCACTGTATTTGATTCGGACTCAGTGTTATAAAAGTCGTTCAATATCGTAAGGACAGTGATTTCGAGCATCCCTTGCCTTAAGTATACCAATTGGTTCTTCAATATTTTAAGCGCAACTAATTGCTTGGTGTTCATATCAACACACCTGAAGACTTGGCCAAAAGACCCTCTACCAAGCATCCCAATAACTCGATAAGCGCTCTCCACTCTCATTGATGTTCTACAAATGAATAATTCTCATAAAAGTGTTTCAAACAAGTAAACAGCGACAAACGATTTCGAATAGAATGAGCCAAACATATCGTCAACAGTAACTATCAAATCGTAATTCTCGTTTTCCTTTCCCGTCGCTGGTGTTGATGGAAACGTCAGTACTCTCTTTGAGATGAATGTTGAAAAATTGATTGTATCGGAGCATTTGTTATACGTTGTCGAAAATTTTGTCGTTAAAAGTGATGTCAGAGACGGGGGTGGGACTTTAGATTTTTCAAGCTTCATGATGACGTTTGGGGTACTTTCGGAGATATTTTCATCCAGTGTTGTTGGTGGTGTAACGTTTCGCCAGAGCTTCAAGTGTTCTTTAGGCATTTTTGTTTGGTAATTCGAGTTGTGTGTATTTTTAGTTTGTCCATCAACTCAAATGGACAAATTCTCGAGTAATACTTTATTGAACCATTTTACTATTCATTATTACTTCTCTTCTCATTGATTTACTATTCTATTTCTTTCCTATTTGAGTGCGTCAAAAAATCCA